TAAAACAAGTAGCTCTTGTTAATCGTAAAAATATGATTTGCGCCAATTTTGTAATTCACCGTTAGGGTTATTTCGCTACAGTGCTTTTTCGAATGAAAAACCCTTTTCGCGATATTACTAGTCTAGACGGGGAACAAACAAGCGACGCGCTTTGTTTATCTGAAACAATATGGCACATAGACATACCTACTTTATACACGCGTCGATATGAAAAATGTTCCATTTAAAAGTTGTAAAAATTATTTCTAAGATTTTCTGTATAACCTCAAAAATTTAGCTAAACATAGTTTAGTTAAATACGCGTTTAACTCATCGTCCGCTGCTGATTGACGTCAACAATGGTTTACAGAATACCTTATTAGTTCATCATCTCCCCTACGTTTTCCTACTCCCGTAGGGTCGGCGCAGCGGGTTTTCGTCCCCCAAGTAACTACAATCCGTCAATCATCACTCCCTTCTTGATCATGTCACCTTTCACACAACCCATCCTTCCTAGTACCGTATTAGTTATGTTCAAGATTGCATTTACGTTTCAAAAACTATAATTTGATAAAAACAAGCTCCGAACATAAGTCACGGTATGGAAGGGTTAATGTATGTTTTTTTATGTTTGTTAAGCTAGCGCTTGACTACGATCCCACCTGAAGAAAGTGGCGATGCAGTCGAATGATGGTAAAGATGGTAAAGTGATGATGTTTAAGCTAAATAGATTTGAATCATTGTTGAAGATTTTATGCTAACGTTCTTTACATTTTAAACACCTTATATTCTAGTAATGTAAACAAATTTGCTATATCTTAAGGACTTCAAAAATTAAGATGTACAAAAAAAAACATTTAAAAATGAATTATCCTTACTTTATTTTTTAGCTTAATAACGGTAAAGATATAGATTACATTAAATATTTGTACCGGTTTCCCTGACACGTAAGTGTACCAATTCAAGTCCATCACTAACGATCCTCATTAATTAACGCAAGTAAAACTAACTCAGACCGTACCGTGCGAGCTATTTGTAACAAAGTTGTTCCTTGTGTAACCGAAAAGTAGAACACTCAAACACATTATGTCGAACTTTTTCGTGACTAATAAATCTATACAATTAATGTAAGAGCATAGACTTTAGTTTTTCTCATACTATTTGAAATTAGAAATGTCCAGTTGCCCGCTACTCGTTACCTATACTAATATTACAATATAAAGTCTTCTGTAAGATATATATTTTTGTATGTATTGTAATAACTCAAAAACTACTGGGCCGATTTCAAAAATTCTTTTATTAAAAAGCTACGTTATCAGTTAAAATAGGCTATTTTTTATTGTTTGTTTTTATTTCAAGCGGACGAAGTCGTGCAACAGCTGGTATTAAAATAACTAAATCAGTAGCTTACGTGTTCTATCGGAATATATTCAACATTAACTAAATCCGTCAAGCCGTTCGTCTCGATATCCATCTTTTCATCTAAACTATCTCATTTATAATATTAGTAAAAAGTAAGGATACAATAAAAAAAATAACTACTTATAATATATAACACTGTTACATTGGTTGAAGCATACTTCAACCTATTTTATGAATTTAGGCCGAATTGTGAAACGACATATAAATATGTAACATCGTCTTGTAAGGCCACGCTTAAACTCCAAAGTACATTAAACTTTTGTTCTCTATCAGATTGTAAGCAGCGATTACGAAGTGTTTATGAATCGTTTTAGTATTCGGCCGTTTGAATATTACAAACTTGTAATGTTACTAGCGACATCTATTACTACAAAAAACGAAGACAGAAAGAAATTATTTTGTAACTAAATAAAGCTTGCAGTTTAATTTGTCAGGTATGCAGTGTAGTAAGTTATCAAAATATTTAACCTTTAACGCGTGTGCTTCGGACAAAAGCTTTCAGTATGGAAATGAAAATGTTAATATGTTAATTAATTATAATGAAATAGCCATTTCAAACTTTCATCGTGGCTGGACATTGATTAATTTTCAAAGGTTCATTGTAAATTACCAGTTCAGGGTATACTAAAATTTTGTTTATAAATAAGTATGTTTTCTTCGTAAACATTCAATAATTGCTATAATGGTGTTTCAATGATGTTTTATAACTTAAAATATAAAGGTTTCTTTAATCGTAATTAAGCGATAGACACATGTTTTGTGAAGTAATACTTTGCGCTTCTATATTACTGTAAAACAATGAACTTTTTTAATAAAAAAAAATCGATATTTACAAAAAGTAAGTTGTAGTAAAACTATTATATGTATCATAATAAATCTCTATGCTTTTTGAGTAATTTTACAAATAAAATTTGTATAGTTTATACCAGTCACAAAACAGATGGCGCTCGCCATGCTTGTGAGTGCACTTGTGAAATTTTAACAAAAGCGCCATCTAGAGTCCGTTGACGTACTGTACATGACTTCTAAATACCAGGCATGTACAAGTGCCAGAAAGGCTTGAATTGTAAATGAAACGCAGAAGCATTTATTTTATCTTTTTACTAATTCTCCCATTTAAAAATGCAGCTTTATGATTTGAGGCACATTCTATGGGTCACCACTTCACTATTTTAGCAACACGAAGTAACCAATTGGTCACTTTCCAGATTCTATAAATAAAAATTTATTATAATTAGTGACTTAAGCAATTGCAATTTACTTTACATTGATTCGTAAACTTTCGACCCTCAAAACCGTACCCATTCTTAATTCGAGCACACGTGTCTTCACGGGTCAGGTAACTTGTAATCAACGTAAAGGATTACAGATTGCCCGAGGCAGTTCTTACAACTCGAGTAAACTCCACAACCTAAGAAGATAAAACATTTGTTTTTACTACAGCACACATTTCTAATTCAAGTAAATATTATTCTATTTTCTATTTATTGACGAAAGTGTTTTTAAATTTGGAGATAAAATGAAGCCTAGGTTCCGAGTTATAAAATAATGTTTGTAGGTTTTCATGATCAAAAATACAGTTGACATACAAAATTCTCTCAATAAAACAGAGACCCAACGAATCGGCAAAACATAGCCTGGGCCGGCGTTCGTGGAGGCTGAGGATGGGCAGCCGCCCAGGGCGCTGTAATGAAAGGAGCACCTCTGCAAACCATACAGTCCCACGAGTTCTAAAAAAGGGGGCGTCGTTGAATTTCAGCCCAGGGCTACTATACCCCTAATACCATTGCTTAACATAAGCTATTTTTGATATTTGTGTTGATTATATTGCGTGACACTCCATGAATAAATAACACATAATTTGCTTGCCAAGCTTATCATTGTTTGAAATGTTACAAAACAAGTTGTTATACGATAGAGTTAGTCACATAAAATCATACAGCTTTTACTATAAAACTAGTTTATCCTTTAGAAAGAAAACAAGAATACCTGACACAGGTCAGCGAATAACAACAAATGTTGACAAACTAAATACTAGTCGAAAAGAAAAATTAAAGTGCATAGCTAAATATATATTAATAAAATCATTATACAAAAGAGGAAGAGAGCCTTGATATCCAATTGGATGTAGACGTTGATAGCTTAATCCACTAAAGGTAAGTTATTATCATACGTGACTTTTTTTACAATTATTTTGTAAGTAAGAATATTGAGGAAGTAAGGTTCTGGCCATTGATAACTTATTTTGTTCATAATTAAAAACAACTTAATTTTTATTCTTTTGACTTTAAGAGTATTACTGAAAAAATAGAGTAAAAAGTAATTGAGTTTTTAAGAAAAATATCGATTTATTAATTTTTAATTACCGAGATTTTTATTACCAAATTCATTCATAGTGCGAGTTTTTAACATTTTTTTATTACAAAATATGAAAATAACTTTAGATCGCTTGAAAATCGCTTTAAAGAAACTACGTGTTCAAACTTTACAAAACTTTTATACACCCTGTGCATTGAAATTTCGCTTTTTTAGATAGACTCCGTAGGCGTGGAATAAAAAAGAAAACAAAAGTGTGTAGCATATGTGATCGTCCAGACTATACTCTACGTCTATACCAAATTTAATTAAAATCTGTTCGGCTGTTAAGGCTACAAATTCTAACAAACATCCATCCATCCAAACTTTCGCATTTATAATATGAGTACATATAATTAATATTTTTAAAGTATATGTACATATATGTCTAATACGTTCGATTCATGACTTCATACTTTTCCAGTAATTTATGAAATCAAAGTATTGTTTTTTCAGATAAAAAAATCATTAAGATTAACATTTAAGAAACGGATTAACTACAACTATACTACAAAAATGTTATTTTTCTATTTGGTAACATTTCTTATAGTTCATCAAAGTGATAGCCATAAATTCATACTTAATGAAAGCAACACTAATGTAAACGCCTGCATTCGAAATATAATTTTGGATTGGAATAATAATGGTATTTTTAGAATCACTTACATTGACATAAACTATCAAGAAAATGACATAATTAAATCAATTCATGACATGAATTTGGTAACTGTTGTCTCTAAATCTGCTACTGAAAAAGTAAATCATCAAAACATTGCTTACATTGTTCTGGTTGAAAATTTTAAAACATTTGAAAATGAATTTGTGCATCTAACATATGATGAAAGCTGGACACCGAACGCACAATTTCTAATTGCATTTAAACAATATGAACCAAATAAATTGAAGGAAATGTTCAATATACTATTACAGCTTCGTGTCTTTGATGTAATTATAATTTACGCAACAGACGATTCTCCAATGTACACATATAATCCTTTTGAAAATAAAAACTGCGGCAAAACGTACGAAATTGCAAAGTACGATAATTGTTCTGTTATAAATGTAACAGATTTATTTAAGCATAAACCAGAAAAAAATATAAAAGGTTGCACATTCAACGTAAGTATACCTCATTGGCCACCATTCAGCATAATTCCTGAGAGGAGCTTTATGAAAATAAAGTTAAAGGGAATTGAAGAATATGTTATTCAAATTTTAAGTGAATTACTAGAATTTAATGTTAGATATAAGTATTTTGAAGAACCAGAAGATTATCCTATCCTTGACGAAAATATGACAGCAACTGGCAGTTTAGGTATACTTCAAAAAGGAGATGTCGACATAGTTCTTGGAGGAATGATACTGACTCATAATCGAGCACATAGTTTTGGTTACATATTTGGATATCTTGACTTTAAAGATGAATTATCTGTTGTGGTTAAAAAAGCAGGTGTCGTTTCAACGTGGAAAATGATTTATATAGAATTTAATAGTCTTGTTTGGATTCTAATAATTATAGTATTCATAATGTTTTTTGTATTCTTCTCGATATTGTTTCAATATAAAGATAAGTGTTACTTAATATTAGTTATGTTGGATCTTTTGATCTTGCATGGACATAGATTACGTTTGAAATTTAAATTTCAATGCATTATGATCCAGTGGGTCATTTTTGCGTTTTTGATCAATACTTTCTACCAATCGAATCTATCTGGGTTGACGACTCGCGTTAGCTACGACTATCAAATCTCGAACAACAATGATTTAGATTACTACAAAATACAACCTTGTTTGAGTCCTCTTATTAGTATTTATTCTAAAGCTATAATGGACAACGAAGGATCTAATAAAACCAATACAAATTGTGATAGCTTAGAGAAAAGTGTTAAACTAATCAGTGAAGATTACACAAAATACACAATAGTATCAAAGTATAAGTATGAGTACAATAAGTATAATAAGTTCGTTGACGAATTTGGTTACACAAAGTTGTATAAGTTTAAGATACCAATGGGTAAAATTATTTATGCGATATACTTCAACAAAGGATTCCCAGAGCTGCAGAAAATGTCTATCCACGCGCTACGTCTCCGTGAATCTGGTATATTGGACAAACGCGAAAAAGATATAAACTATGAAGTTACAAGACACTACTATGCTCTTAAAAGAAGACACATCCGACGCTTTGTCTTCCCATGGCAGATTTTGGTCGTAGGTATTGGAATGTCAACAATTACGTTTTTTTGTGAATTGCTGATAGATCATGTTCAGCGAAAAAGAAGACAACCCATCATTTTCTTGCATTGACATTGATTTTGTTACCTATTGAATAGTTAATAGATTAAGAAATTTTTATCACAAATGTCACCAAGATTCAAATTTTTTCGTCCAAATGATGCACATTAGTAGAAATGTAATTGTGTGTTATTACAGATATTTCTTATTTCGATGGATTAAAAGGTTTAAGACTCTCAATTGTGCTTTTTAATTCCTTCTAGTAGGGTTATGATTTTAGTTTAGTACTTCTGTATTTTTTTGTATGTGGGTTTGTTTGTGTGTCAATTTCATAAAGTTAGTTTTTATTAAAAGCCTTAACGACATGACCGATTTTAAAAAGTGTAATTAAACGCTGCTTTTAAAATAATTTAGATGAAGTAGAACATAGTCTGCAAGAATACAAAGTCTACTTTCTCTTTCTTAATCCAAGAGGTGTCGCGGGCAAAAGCTAGAAAATAATAAAGTACTCATCCAGAAAACAATGTAATTATTTCTAATATTTATTGTTCCTGCATTTTATTTCAAACCTAAAAATCAGGTCATAAAGTTGTTAGTAAGTCTCTTATACTTTGTTAGAATAAAACAGGACATAACATTTTACAATTACAATTACAAAATTCAGTTAGCGGAGTGCAACTTTAGTAATACACTAGCTGTTCCCGTGCGGTTTCATCCACAAGAAATTATGAAAATTTTATTTCATTGTTTACATTTGTCAAATTATCAATAGCAAATGTCAAACTGACATGACATGACAAACCTTGGCAATCTTGTTTCCTTAATGTTGGTAGCAACTTATGGTCTCTTTCCCACATAAGGGATTTTATTCAAAATATTAACCACCTAAGTTTATTGGCGTGAAAATATATAGCCTAAAGCGTGTCGCAAGTGTAGCGCTTTTTATTAAAGAAAAGGATTATTCAAAAATATGCCGTAATTGCTGACATCTTAGGCAACAAAGAAGTGTGTGTTTACTCTTTATTATAATAGTATAGATATAAACACGACGTCAATAATCGATTAAGGATTTAAAACGTAAATACACAGTCGCAAATTTAAAAAGGATAAGGGTCATAGGATGAAAAACAATGTAAGCAACTTTAAGGATCAGCCGACATACCTTTTTAAATTAGGTTTCGGATGGTGCGGAAACTTTTTGATGATTTGGTCGACACAATATTTAAATATAAGTATATACGTAAATGTTTTTGGTTTAATTTAGTATGACAGAAAGAGAAAGCTTTTATTTATATTAATTGCTATTTCGACCCATCGTATGGTCCGTTTGACTATTGACCAACGTTAACAATACTGGTTCTCGCTTTACTAGTGACCTGAAGTTTCCTCCTTTCCTCTTTTCTCCATATTTCGTTGGGGGTAGAGCTTAACTTGCTTATGTAGGACTATGTAATTCGTAAATTTTCTGATTGATTCTGTTCTGTCCAACACAGTCTGAACGTCACCAAAGCCTTAACATCTCCCTATTTGTCAATTTCACTGTTAAATCTAGACTTTTAAATAAAAGCATTGTATTTTTTATATTTTTTTATATTATAACGTGACAAACGAGCGAGCGGTCACCTGAATTCGCCGAGAAAGGAAAGCGATCGCTACACATATACATCCGCAATTACAGATGCGTTGTCTACCCTTAATTTACGGAATAGGAGACGTTCTAAAGAGTATATTTAGTCTTCCAATGCGATTCCTCCACCGTCAAATCCACTTTCCCTTCAGAAAGGGACTTAAATTAGGGCTCCGGCACCACACTCAACAGACGAAACGCGGAATTGCTTCCACTTCACGCCTGTTTTCTATGTAGTCGTGGTATTCCACCGGGCGAGCCGGCCCATTCGTGCAAAGATGTTAAAGCGGGCCACTGTTAAGTTTAATATAACGTGACAAATATAACAATACACCATGACTCAACGTACCGTACGTTGCATTGTCCAGATTTAGGCGAAGATAATCTGTAATATTCATAACCTACAAAATCACGAATTGTTTTAAATTTTCTTTAAAAAGGTTCTAAGGGTGCGTTCAAATCAAAGACAAATGCACTACAAATGTTCGAGATCCGCTTTTACTCGTTCTCTGCACGAAAGCTGTTACTGTAATTAGTACACTGTTCTTAAGCGCAGTTTAAAGATCTGAATGTCTCAAGATTGTCGGCATTTTCCAACGAGCTAAAGAAGTATTACAATGTACGCTTGGGCATGGCTCTGATACGAAGTTGGCTAGAACCTTGTTAGCGAGGTGAATGCGAGCATCTTAACACGAATATAGTTAAATACTTTAAACTGAATCTTCCCACGAGCTCGGAAGTCCATCGTGCGATTCTCAATCGCCAGATCTGGTCGCACCCTTATGCTATAGAAAACTCTATCCGCGAGTGATCTATACTAAGTACTATATGCTCTATAATCTCTACATTGTGTAATCTATATCGTATTTTAATCTATAACATAAGGGTGATTTATTTTAACACAGGCAGACTGTGTGACTCAGTCACAGTGTCAGGCAGGAAATTAAGCCGCAAGTAGGTCAGTCCCGGAGATGTAAGGCCAGGTGAAACTTCATAGCAGTCAACCCATTTCCGCGCACAAGACATCTATTGAAAGATACTAGAGAATAAAATTGTCCGAGTGTTTTAGTAGTTTACATGAATCCTGTAAGTATTTTAATTAGGATTGTAAGTACAGTATATTATAATATAGATGTTATTTAACAAAAAAATACAACATACTCCTTTTAAGGAAGGGTCATACAATGTTGATCCAATACTTACTTAGATTATCATTGTTTGAATAGTTATAAATGCTAATCATTTGTAGTTCATGAACTGAACATTGCAATCAGAAAGTCTTATGTGTACCATCGCGATCAACAGTGAAAAGAGTGCATCTAATATGTACACGTCTACAAATAAAAAAAGTTAGGATAGAAAGAACTGATAGAAAACTTGATAACTAAGATGTCTAGTTTCCCTGTTAAATAAATAAATTCAATTCTATGAAACTGATTCAATTAAATCATTTTAGCAGATTTTGCAAAAGTTATACCGAAGATTGAAATAAAGGGTATGTAAATATCAGAAGCAAAATCTATAATATCTGGGAGGAAATACCAACACTGTCAGTTTTCTCACTAGGTAGGTTTATTTTTCCCTTTGTATCGTGTTTAGGGAATAAATTACTTCATATACTTAGGTTGTTCCAACGAATGTCGATAGATGGCTATGGCTATTACTAAAAAAGGAGGAATTTTTTATAACAATTAGCATACGTTAATTTTTCTGGTGCTAAATAAAGAACATAATTGATAAAAACAAAGTTTCATGACAATGTTAATAACACTTCCATTACTTAGAACGACATACTTTTAAACATTGAATAATTTGAAGAATACTTTAAATTGAATAACAATTGAAAGTATTCTTCAATGAATTACTATTTCTCAAAAACCTTTTAAAAACTAATAAAGAAGAAACTACTTATGTAACAATCTTACTAATATTATACGTTTAGATGGATGGATGTTTTTTAAGTTTGTAACCTAAACTACTGAAAGCATCGCTATAAAATTTGGCATAGATGTGTATAGTCTGGAAGAACACATAGACTACTTTTGTTTTTTTAATACATGTGGACGGAGTCGCGTGCAAACATTTTAACAATATATTTTCTGTTTCAGCCCATTATGATGATATAAAAGAAACATTATTGAATTTATATCACTAAAATATTGTTTTCAAAAATGTTTGTAAGGTATTTATTAATACTTATGATATATTCGTGCAACGGAGCCAATGTTTTTGTAGAAGAAGATAACACACACGTAACGACTTGCGTTCAAAATATAATATTGCGTTGGTGTAAACAGGGATCTCATATCACTTATGTGAATTTAAATTATAATGATAACGATGTTATTAAAGATATACACAACATGGATTATGTAGCAGTTATATCTAGGACAACCGAACACATTGATCATCCTAATAGAGCTTACGTGGTCATGATTGAAAATTATAAAACATTCAAAGATGAATTCATATCACTAACGCAAGAGGAACAATGGAAACCTAATGCATATTTTGTAATAGTTTTTAGAGAATTCGAAAGGGAAATACATACAGATTTATTCAATAATTTATTGCGACTTCACATATTCCATGTTGTGGTTTTATACGCTTCAGAAACTTCTGCCATATACACGTACAATCCCTTTCATAATAACAGCTGTGGTAAAATGTTTCAAGAAATTATACAGTATGATAATTGTTCCCGGAAGAATATAGAAAATGTGTATTTTAATAAATCGGGAAAAATACTGAAGGGTTGTACGTTTAATGTGGCTGTACCAGATTGGCCTCCCTTTGCTGTAGCGCCTGAAAAATTTAAGATCTTAAAGATGAATGGAACAGAACAATACCTTATGAAAATCGTGGGTGAATTAGAAGGTTTTAATCTTAACTATTCATACATGACGAATTCCGAATATTTTCCTATCGTAGATCGTAATATGACAGCTACTGGAAGCTTGGGTTTAATTCAAAAAGGAATTATTGACATCAATTTTGGAGGAATGCTATTAATACTGAAACGAGCTTACGCTTTCAGTTATATCCATGGTCACCATGACTACCAGGACGAAATATTAACAATAGTAAAAAAAGCTGGACCAGTGCCTGCATGGAAAAATATGTATTTAGAATTTACTTGCGTGGTATGGATTTTGTTAGTTATAACGTTTCTCATTTACATTATAATCTTCTCAATTTTGTTTCGTCTTAAGGATAAATGTTATTTCGTTTTGGTAATGTGGGATCTACTTTTGCTACACAGTCATAAATTATATTCAACACCTAAAGTCAAATATTTTATATTCCAGTGGGTCATTTTTGCGTTTTTCATCAATGCATTTTATCAATCCAACCTTACGGGAATGACAACACATTTGAATTATGATTACCAAATATCTAACTATGAAGATGTTAAAAATTATAATATGCAACCATGTATATGCACTGCTATTAAACATTACACTAAAGCTATAACTGACCAAGAACTGTTTAAAGGCAATGAAAAGAACTGCGAAGGTATACTAAAGAGTATTAGGGTGGTTAGTAAAGATAAAAAAAAATACACTATCGTTTGGGGTTCAGTATACGACTTCCATGAATTCAAATTCAAAGATAAACTTGGCAAGTCGCTTTTATATCATTTTCCAAAACCAGAAAGTAAAATCATTTACGCAATATTATTTTATAAAGGTTTCCCAAAGTTGGATGAAATGAAACAGTATGCGATAAGTCTACGTGAAAACGGTTTAATTGACAAGCACGGTCGAGACTTGAAACATGAAATTTCTAAAACGTACTACGTTGCGAAATCAAAGTCGAAAGCTCATTTCATCTTTCCATGGCAAGTATTGGTAATCGGATACGGAATATCAACTATTGCATTTGTTATAGAATTGATTGCGAATTTTATTAAGCGTAGGAGAATACAAAGGAGAAGAATTTATAGAGATTAATATCAAACTATTATTAATACTTGTTATTTTTTTTTTATAATATGAGGTGGCAAACGAGCAAGGGGCCACCTGAATCCACCGAAATGGGAAGCGACCGCTGCCCATAAACATCCGCAATTGCAGATGCGTTGCCTACCCTTAATTGACGGAGGTGGAGACGCACATAGAGAGGACATTTCCCCTTCCCATGCGTTTTCTCCATCGTCAAATCCACTTTTCCTTTCCATCATTTTCTCTTAAGAAAAGGGTAGAAAGGAAAACGGACTAATATCAGGCCTCCGGCACCACACTCATCAGACGAAAAGCGGAATTGCTTCCACTTCACGCCTGTCTTCACGTGTGGTCGTGGTATTACACGTAACAGTGGTTGTACGAGGCCGGTTCGGTTGGTACCACAAAGTATACGCTAGAAGTAGAAGACTTTTTCTTTGCGTCTGACAAGTGTGTTTGCCGGAAGTACATTTTTTGTATAAATCGTCTTTTCTCACTTATCGTAAAGAAAGAGATGGAACTCGGAATTGGATAGGCAGGGGAGGATAATTCGGTTGCACTGATTTGTTGTTACTACTAATCACGTTGTGGGCTCACTATTTTTAAATAAAATATACGTCACAAAAACTCCACTTGGTTGTTAATAATATAAGGCGAGTGATTATCAAGTATTATATTTAGATATAAAAACTTACAATATTCAATCAAAACCTCTATTGACACTTTCTTTGCAAACATTCCGATTATGATCACATATAATGCGTATTCTTGAATGTGAGTTTGACTTCTTCGTTAATAATTTCACTTGTGATTCGATTTTTAATTCAAAGTTGTATTCAATGTATTACATTTATTAGATCTTAAGTGTTTATTCAGTGTTTTTTTTACCTGTGCTCATTTGTTAGTTTGCAATAGTCAGTAAGGTTTTGTAGCATCATTGGCAGTATCATAAAATAGCTTTTCTTCGCGACTTTGTCCGTGCAGAATTTAAAAATAACTTAGTAAGTAAACTTTGTGTTCTAACAGACTATGCTTTGCTGTCTTCTCTAATACGTCCGTGCCGAATTTCAAATTTCAACATAAACTTGGTTTGGAGATGCGGAATAACAAACATCCATCCACTTTCGTATTTATAATATTAAGTATATAGTTTAAAATATGATTAGTATGATTTGTGATTCATATTTTATCAGTAGCATTGATTTTCTACAATAATAATAGTGCACACGTCGACCAAATGATACATTGCTGTGGTCTGGAGGTACAAATGCAGTAATCAGCCTGCGGCAATAAGCATACCAGCACGCAATGCAGACACAATATGATCTGAAAGAAAAACCATTTAATTTACATTTCTTCCAACTTCAGTATAACCTAAAACAGAATCACACTTGTGGTTGTATATCTACACACAAAATACAAAGAAAATATATAAATTGTACAAAAACTTAACGGTAAGTCTACTGATATGTACTACCATTACAATTTCCAACAATAAAAATGTGTATTCAAGAAGTTTTGTTACAGTCAATGACGGACGCTGTTTGTCTTTAACAATGCTGTAGCAGATCTCATGAAACACAATCTTTGCTAAATTTATCGTATATGTATACAACCGTAGTTTAGCTTTTAGAAAATAAATCAAGGCATTACGTACCTTAAAGTTTGTCAACGCAACTATCCACCGCATAGGATCGTCATCATCCTCTCATTTTAGGAATACGAACATAAGTATGCTATTTCCGTAAATTGTAAATCAATTTTTCTCCGCCATGTTTTTCATATATTTATTACTTCTTACAATAACTCTACCTGAGTCTCAGACATTTGTTGTTCATGATAACAACACGGATCTAACGACGTGTGTTCAGAATATTATTTCACATTTAATACCAAAGGGCTCCTTCATCACTTACGTAGACTTACATTTTAATGTTAATGATGTCATCAAGAGCATTCAAAATCTGCAGTTTTACACATTAACATCCAGAACTACAGATAAAAAAGTAAACCATTATAATAAGGTTTACATAATTACAGCTGGCAACTTCAACGACTTTAAAAACGAATTTAACCTCCTCTCTAAAGAGAAAGATTGGAATCCAAATGTTAATTTTATTATTATCTTCAGAGAAAAAATTCCAAATCCCTTAACATACTTGTTTGACATTCTCTTACGTAGTCATGTTTACAACGTGGTCGTGATAAGTGATACAAGCAATATACAAATGTACACATACAACCCTTTTAAAAATTACAGCTGCGGTAAAAAATATCTCACCATCAAATATTGTGGTATTTGTTCTAATATGAGTGTAACTAAATGTTTATCTAAACTTGATATTAAACTGAAAGGATGTACTTTTAAAGTTGCTACGTCATACAGAGCCCCCTACTCTATAAGATCTGAGAGCAATAAAAACTTGATGGGAACAGAACAATACGTCTTGAAACTTTTAGGTGAAATGGAAGGTTTCAAAATTAATTATACCGCATCATTTGATCCAGATGTTTACCCCGTCGTAAAAAATGATATGTCGGCTTCTGGAGCTTTAGGTTTAATTCAAAACAAAGATGTAGATATAGTTTTTGGTGGAATGTTATTGTTACTTGAGAGAGCTGAAGCTTTCAGTTTCATCTATGAACATAAAGCGCTTACAGATGAATTGGTCGTGATGGTAAAAAGAGCAGAACCGGTAACGGCATGGAGAAATATTTACCTAGAATTTACATGTTTGGTTTGGTTTCTTTTGTTTGTTACGTTCTTTGTTTTCTTCCTTATTCTTGTACTAATATTTCGGATCAATGACAAATGTAAAATACTATTAATCATGTGGCGTCTCTTCTTCCAACATAACTTTAAATTGAATGCTAATTTTCGATTGAAGTATTTTATTTTTCAATGGGTTGTTTTCGCTTTTCTGATAAACATTTATTATCAGTCTATGCTGATGGGTCTTACCACTCATATTAGTCGAAATTATCAGATATCTAATAATAAAGACATCGAGATGTTTAAAATGGAACCTTGCATTTCTAATAATATCGTAGGTGTTATAAAGAATACTATTGGAGCGGATTTTAACAAAATGGATAAGAATTGCAGTAGGACAATGTCCAGTATACAGACTGTTAGCGGTGATTACAAAAAATATACAATAGTTCTTCATTCATTATATCATTACAATAGACTAAATTATACAGATGAATTTGGCGATTGTCTCCTTTATTCTTTCAAGGAACCGATGAATAAAATTATTTATGCAATATATTTTTACAAAGGCTTTCCAAAGTTGAACATCCTGCGTTACAATACATTACGAATACGTGAAAGTGGTTTGTTGAATAAACATTTAAAAGATTTGTATCATGAAAAAGCAAAGCAATATAAATTTATTACGAAAGATTTTAAAGCACATTTTTTCTTTCCGTTGAGTATTTTATTAACAGGTGTTGTGTTATCGGGATTGTCGTTACTTTTTGAACTGATAATTTATTTTAGTAAGCGATACAGATTGTATTAAAATACTAGCTATTACCGTGCGGCTTCATCCGCATGAAATTATAATAACTTTATTGCTTACATTTGTCAAATGTCAAAATTCAAATGCACAAATGACAACCTTGTTTCCTTAATGATGGCAGCTTGTAGTTTATGGTCCCTTTTCCACTTGACGGTTTTTTCCTAATTATTTACCCCCTGAGTTTTATAGCGTGAAAATCTATAGCCTAAAGCGTGTCGTTAGTGTAGGACTTTTTATTAAAGAAAGAGTAATTCAAAAATATGCTGTGATTGCTGACATCTTACGCCACAAAGTAGTGTGTGTTTACGCTTTGTTATAATAGTATAGAAGTATAGATTTGCTTTCCATAATTTTTACTAAATAACTTAAAATTAAACTAAATTATAACATTATAGTACAATATGCACTGCACTGTAAATGTTATATTGTAACACCAATTGATGTCAACTTTATTAAGGTTGTGTGTCATAAAAAAATAAACAATGTGTTATTTTTGCTTAGAATCTAATTATTACAAATATTTCAAACGTTATATAATTGTAATGCATACACATATAATTAAATGTAATAACAAAGCCTTCTTTTGTGTTTTTTTTTTCCATTTACAAAGTTCACGAAACATAAAATTATTTATTGACAAAATTGATTAAATATCAAGGTTCCATGTTATTCCTAACTATACATAATTGTCGTGTTTCAAAGAATGATTCGAAACAAATAATATTTAATTGTTTGAAAACATATAATTATTGATACTAGATTGATACATCGATACAAAATGTAGTATTAAGTCATAATGCAGGCAAATAACTGTACCTATGGTAAATCATAATTACATGTTATACAATAATTATGGAACAATTAAAACTGTAATAACAGAACAAGAACAAACAACGAAATAGTACGTAGTCCTAAAGATATTTGGTATAATTTGATAAAAAAAAACGATAAAACTGCATTATTTTTGCATAGCTATCAAAGTATTTCAAGTAAAAGGCGGGAATACATACCAGTAAACTGAATTAGTATCTGCATTTGCCAGTAAGAATAAATTAAAAACTCTCATGGGTTAGTTGACTTCACGCATATCTGCTTGCCATGTGGCCAGCGTGGTTCACAAAGGCCTACTATATTAAAATGTGTATACTTTGCGCGCAATAACGCCACCCACTGGCAAGTTATTATCAGCAGCTCACTTTACGTCCCCACCGAGGATCTCAGAGCCTACCCTAATAAGGGATGACTAGGCCATTGTTAACTACGCTAGTGCAGGTTAATTGACTTTACACATATCTTTGAATTTCTTCTCCGATATGTGCAGGTTGCATCACGATGTTTTCCTTCATCGTAAGAACGTCGTGTAAATTATGTACATATGAAATTCGAAAATCAAAAATCACATTGATACATGGCGGGATTCGAACCCAAGACCTGTAGATTACAAGTCAAGTGTTTAAATCCCTGAGCCACCGACGCTCTTAATATAAGATCAAATTGCACACAAATTCTGACAGATTGTATGCAATTCTCACGAAGTATTTTTTTGTTTTTTATAATACAAGGTGGCAAACGAGCAAGCGGCCACCTGAATCCACCGAAATGGCAAGCGACCGCTGCCCATAAACATTCGCAATTGCAGATGCATTTCCTACCCTTGATTGACGGAGCAGGAGACGCACATAAAGAGGACATTTTCCCTTCCAATGCGTCTCCTCCACCGTCAAATCCTCTTTTCCTTTCCATTCTTTCCTCTTAAGAAAAGGGTGGAAAGGAAAAAGGACTAAAATTGGGCCTCCGGCACCACACTCACCAGACGAAACGCGGAATTGCTTCCACTTCACGCCTGTTTTCTGTGTGGTCGTGGTATTACACCGGGCGAGCCGGCCCATTCGTGCGAAGATGTTAATGCGGGCTCTACCACTGTTAAAAGTAAAATGTTTAATTTTAAATTCAGTATTCGGTCTTAAGTTACTCATGCTACAAATTCTTAAAAACATTATACAGGGTCAGCTTGGTAAAAAAAAATAGGTTAATTTTTGCAAGGATACAATTTTTGAAAGAAGAACACGGCAAAAGTTTGCCGTTATTCGATTTGCATTTTAATCAAGTGGGGTGATGGAAGGCTGACGCGTGCAGCGTTAGAAACAAAAATATTTTTAAATTACGAGCAATTCGAAAATGCTGATAAAAATGTTTCGCCTCTTACTAATTTAAAATATACAAATGTTCTATGGATGGATAGTGATGAAACATAGATATAAAACATAATATGTGAGAAAACATAGGTTTTTTTAAGTTGTTTTTTAACTTCATGCTGACAATGTCAAGGGAAAAAGATATTATTCCAATAAAGCTGTTAAAATATTTTATCCAATAACTTATTGAAATTCCTGTCAACAACATGGTAATTATTAACGTAATTATTACGTTTGACATTTCAATGAACTTAATTACTGTCGACGACGCAAAATATTTTCATGAAAACATATTTTTTTTTATAACATAAGATGGCAAACGAGCAAGCGGCCACCTGAATTCGCCAAAATGGCGAAGCGACCGCTGCCCATAGACATCTGCAATTGCAGATGCGTCGCCTACCCTTATCCGACGAAGGAGGAGACGCACATAAAGAGGATATTTCCTCTTCCTATGCATCTCCTCCGTCGTCAAATCCACTTCCCCTTACCATCCACTCATAAGAAAAGGGTGGTAAAGAGAAAGGGACTTAAATTAGGCCTCCGGCACCACACTCATCAGACGAAACACGGCATTGGTTCCATTTCACGCCTGTCTTCTGTGTGGTCATGGTATTACACCGGGCGTGCCGGCCCTGCAGTGCTAAGATGTTAAAGCGGGCACTACCACTGTTAAAATAATGGAGAATAAATAAGTTAAAGGCAATTTTACATTAGTACTAGTTTTCGCCCGCAACTTCGTCTGCGTGGAATTAAAAACCAAAAGTGGGTGAGCGATGTGTTCTTCCAGACAGTAGTGGTAGTGCCCGCTTTAACAACTTAGCACGAATGGGCCGGCACGCCCAGTGTAATACCACGATCACTCAGAAGACAGGCGTGAAGTAGAAGCAATTCCGTGTTTCGTCTGATGAGTGTGGTGCCGGAGGCCTAATTTAAGTCCCTTACTCTCTACCACTCTTTTCTTATAAGGAGGGGAAGTGGACATGACGGTTGAGGAGATGCATAGGAAGGGGAAATATCCTCTTTATGTGCGTCTTCTCCTCCGATGGATAAGGGTAGGTAACGCATCTGCAATAGGGAATAAGCATGTATTTTTTTTCTTTTTTATACGATTCTACTTGTTATAAAATAACCAGAAAAAAAAAGACGCGAGCATGTCGCTTTGTTAGTTTGTCGGATTGTGGCCGCTGGCACATTTGTCGACTTTTACTATAAACAAAAATTGAAACCAAAAAAAATGAGATAAACAGATCGTAACGATTTTAAGTTACAAAAATACTTAGAGGATCTTGTTTTTTGGTTTGTAAATATCTAAGCACGCCACTTGATGCATAACTCAATTTTATTTGCTTACATACAGATAATAATCATTGTTTAAACAGTTAGATAATTTGTAGGGATAGTTACCACGAATGCTGTCACAAAATAACAAACAAACGCATATCATACTGAAACTTCGTCGGACATGTTAATAATATTAACGTATCCCAAGTTAAATAAAAAAAAAAAAACGTTATCTTATCCCAAGAAATCCCGAGTCTGAATAAATAGTCTAGGCACATGAATTGCAAGATAAATCAGTTCCTGCTGAAGCATACCTCTATATCGAAAACAAAACGCCGAAATACGTAAGCATAAGTAATATTTTTGTGAATTTACAATATCCAAACATCTATGAAAAACTAAGTAATCATAATATGTAAACCCAGTCTATAATAATATGAATTGATATTAATGCTTCAAACTAGAATTTTACTGCATCAAAGATTATTAGATATCAAATTCACAAAAGTGAAATAAACATTGAAAGAAATCCATTTCATAGAATCGATCTAGTTAATTGTTACGAATTAAGTTTTAATATACCATCACGTTGCTTCTATTCTATTGCAGAAGAACAGGGGACGCGAAGTTAGCTCGGGCGAGTCAGTTTTATAATAATGTTAGTTGCATTTTTGTTAACTTTTATATCAATACAAATATGTGATAGCCAGATATTGTTGCTTGAAGAAGATAACAGTCACTTAACGAGTTGCCTTCAAAATATAATATTGAACTGGAATAAAAAAGCGGATGTACCATTGAAAGATATCACTTTCGTCGATTTTAATTATCAAGAAAATGACATCCTTAAAGCCATGCACGAAATCAATTTTATTACAGTTGTATCTAAAACTGCTAATGTAAAAGTAAATATTCAACATAATGCTTACATTGTTATGATTGATAATTTTACTACTTTCAAAAATGAATTTTCGTTAATCACACAAGAGAAAGACTGGAAACCGAATGCAAATATGGTAATCGTTTTTAGACATTATGAAACTGATAAAATCAGAGATATATTCAATATCCTACTGCGTCTTCACATCTTCGATGTAGTCGTTGTATACTCATCCACTGATGCTCCAATATACACATACCATCCTTTTCAAAATAAAAACTGCGGTAAAAAATTTGACGAAATCGTAAAATACAATAGTTGTTCTGAAGAAAATGTAGAAAAGCTGTTTTTTCACAAACCTGAAAAAGATATTAAGGGTTGCACTTTTCATGTGGGCATACCGCATTGGCCACCATTCTCTATAAAGCCTCATGAAGAGGTTATTGATTTGAAGTACAATGGAACAGAACAGTATCTAATGAAAATTTTGAGTGAAAAAGTAGGTTTTGATTTCAAATATTCGTACATACCTAAGGTGGAAGAATTTGCTGTCGTTGATGAAAACATGACAGCGACTGGTTGTTTGGGTTTAATTCAAAAGGGATATTACGATATAGTTTATGGAGGTATGATACTGACATATGGCCGAGCTAATAGTTTCGATTACTTTCATGGACATCATGACTTTGAAGATGAACTATCTGTACTGGTAAAAAATGCAGGTCCTGTACCAAATTGGAAAAATATTTATTTAGAATTTACTTATCTTGTTTGGTTTCTACTAGTTGTTACTTTCATTACGTTTTTTGTTGTTTTCTCAATTCTGTTTCGTATTAAGGATAAATGTTATTTTATGTTAGTTATGTGGGACCTTCTTTTTCAACACAGTCATAAATTACGTTTGAATTTCAAAGGCAAATGTTTTCTGTTCCAATGGGTCATCTTTGCGTTTTTGATTAATGCGTACTACCAGTCGAACCTATCTGGGTTGACGACACACGTCAGTCATAACTATCAAATCTCGACACCTGAAGATTTAGAATATTATAAAATTAAACCATGTCTGAGTCCTGTTATTGCAGTTTTTTCGAAAGCTATAATGGGAGAGGAAACACTCAATAAGACCAATAAAGATTGTAATAATTTTTTTCATAGTATAGCAACGGTCAGCAAGGACAACACAAAGTATACCGTAGTGTTGCTTTTTGACCGACTTCCCAAAAGAAGGAGGTATTCAATTCGTCGGTATATATATATTTTTTTTTTTTTTTATGTGTGTTACGGC